ATACATAAAATCTGAGAAGTACCTGGGGTGGAGATAAATACAATGGTAAAGTCCTCTGGGTTGTTACTCAGAGCGGTTGCAGCAGCCCTGGACAGAGGCTTGAGGTTACAGCAAGAATTTAAAAAGACATTTCTGTGTTCTCTGACAGCAAATGAAAGGCCCAGCACCGATTCTGAGTTGACATCTGCTGCTCAAACTTCCTTAAAAGACCCATATTTAGGTGGCTTCTCAGACCGCGTGGGGTGACCCAAGGTGACCGCTTTCTCCCCCAAGGCAAAACAGGGAAGGAGGATTCTGGGATGCTCCGAGGTCTCGCTTTGCTTGTACGTGGGCTGTCCTGGCAGCTGCGAAGTCAGGGGAAGAAAGTTGAACCCTGAGCCTTTGCCTCTTCTCCTCCTTCCAGAAGCTTGTATGATACACCACACCTCCTTCCCTCTCTCTCTTCCCCGGAGTCTTCTGGACAACACTTCCTCCTACAGGTGGAATGGAAGCATCCCAGGGCAACCAGCTTGTCTGTCTTGTTCAGTCCCGTGTCTTCAGTGCTTGGGAGAGGAGACGTAAGATAAGTACTGCTTGACAATCTGGGAATGGGAGAAGGCAACAATGAATGAATGAATTTCCAGAACCTGTGGCGCTGTGACTTGCCTTGATTCTGTACGTCAGTAGTTGACACAGAGTGAATGCTCACAACTCTTAGTGTTTGTTACACTCCCCTGTTCTTGATGATGCTGTCGGCCAGCCACTTAATTTCTAAGATCACCGTTGTCCTCTTGTTCCCCGTCCTCCCATCGCTTCCTCTGCTGACTTTGCTATGCCCAGGCCTTCCGGTCTTGAGCACAGTGGGGCTAGGAAACCACCCTGCCTGGGCAGTACTAGCTGGGTTGTCATCCTGCTGTTTGCCATCAGGAATGGTGTGTAAATCCAATAAGGAGGAGTCTGGCAACTGGAATCACTGGGACGCTCTAAACTCCCTCTCAACCATTTAACGTCACAGGGCTCAGTCACAGTCCAAGTGCGCAAAAGAAGGAAGTGGTGTCTCAGCACAACTAGCCCAAGCTTGGAGAATGTCTTGGAGAAGATAGTAAAGCGAGTGGTGGAAGGCGGCAGACTGGGCAGTGGGGTGGAGAGTAGCCAAGGCGGGGCAGTGGCAGGCTTTCACAGTGGTCAAGGAAAGCCGCTTGGAGTGCTCCTCATAGGTTCCCATGTCCTTAGGTTCAGCCTCGTAATTCAAATGTGACCGTGTAACAGAGGCCAATTACTGCCACTTGGTAGCAGCATACCCTGTGTACAGCCTCATAGGGATATCTGGCTCTGGCATTAGACTACAGTCAAAGCCTACCTTGTTTACTAAGTGATGTAACCCCGAACAAGTTCTTTGATTTCTTTTTTGCCTTATTTTCTTCATCTCTCAAATATATTTATCCTTAAGATGTTGGGAGGACTAAATGAGAACATAATGTTATTGGCTTTGTTTTGGGATGCAAGCTGCTGCTTTTTTTTTTTTTTTAAGATTTATTTATGTATTTGAAAGGCAGAGTTACAGAGAGGCAGAGGCAGAGAGAGAAAGGTCTTTCATCTGCTGGTTCACTCTGCAATGGCTGGAGCTGTGCTGATCTGAACCCAGGAGGCAGGAGCTTCTTCCGGGTCTTCCATGCAGGTGCAGGGGCTTAAGCACTTGGGCCATTTTCCACTGCTTTTTAGGCCATTAGCAGAGCTGGATGGGAAGTGGAACAGCTGGGACTTGACACAGTGCCCATATGGGATGCTGGCACTGCAGGTGGTGGCTTTACCCGCTATGCCAAGTGCCAGCCCCGGGATGCAAGCTTCTTTAAAGCTTAATCCTCAAAGATAAACCTGGATCACAAACCTTCCAGCAAGGCTTTGTAAGCTTCTTAGGACAGGCAGAATGTGAGAATGGACTGAATAAACACATTCTTACTTCACCTATGTGACCCATGCAGTCTCCCCCAGTGTGCAGACTGCATGTCTACTAGAATGGGTGGCTCAATATTATTTAAATACCAAGAAAACCTTAAGAAAAACATTTCAAAATCAATGGGAAGTCTTGGAGGAAGGTCCATTAGCAACAGGTGACTTGGACATGTCTTGGATGTGTTCAGGAGGACAGCACAGCCCATCTACAGATATCTGTGAGCTGATCAGACTTTGAGAACTTGTCCTGGATGAGTTAGAATGAGACAGAATGTGTGAGACCTTGGCCGGGGCCAGCACACTTAACAGGGGCTGCTGCTCCTTCCTTCAGCCCATCCTCCCTTCCTTCTTCCTCCCTTCCTTGCATCCATCCCTCTCCCCCCTCCCACCTTCCCTCTTTCCTTCCCCCTTGCTCCCTCCCTCCCTCCCTCCCTCCTTTTCCTTCCCTCTCTCTTTCCCCCTTCCCTTCTCTCCTCCTTCATCCCTCCTCCTCCCTCCTTACTTTCTTATTCCTCCCTCTCTCCATTCTTGCTTCCTTCTTTTTCCTTTCTTCTCCTTGGAGTTACAGAGACAGGAAGAGATAGAAAGACATCTTCCATCCACTGGTTCACTCCCCAGATGGCTGCAACAGCCAGGGCTGGGCAGGGATGAAGCCAAGGAGCCAGGAGCTTCCTCAATGTCTCCCATATGGGTGGCGGGGGCCCAGACACTTGGGCCATCTTTCGCTGTTTTCTCAGGCCATCATCAGGGAGTCGGATCAGAAGTAGAGCAGCCAGGACTTTAACTGGCACGCATATAGGATGCCAGTGTCACAGGCGGCGGCTTTACCTATATGCCACAATGCGGGCCTCAATAGGGTCTTCGTAGAGCTCCTCTCCCTCGCCTCTGAAGGCTTGTTTCTTCAGCTCCCCTGAAGTCAGTGGTTGTAGGTAGGGCTCAATTAATCAGGTTTTAGAATGTAGTGCTTGGGTCACCGCTGTGGCACAGGGGCTTAAGGCACCGCGGCCTGCAGTGTTGGCATCCCATCAAAGCTCTGGCTGAGGTCCCAGCTGTTCCAAATCTGATCCATCTAGGAAATCAGCCGATTATGGCCTGAGTGCTTGGGCTGCATCATCCATGTGGGAGACCTGGTTGTAGTTCCTGATTCGAGGCTTTGACCTGGCCCAGCCCCAGCCATTGCAGCCATTGCAGCCATTTGACCAGTGGATAGACAATCTGTGTCTCTCTCTGCCACTCTGCCTTTAAAATAAATAAAAAAATCTCTCTCTCTTGGATGTGTTCAGGAGGACGGCAGTGCTCCTATCTGTGGAAGGCTGGGCTTCCTCATGCGGGCCATAACTCGCAGACCTGACCATGGTGTATCTGCCCCTCTGATTGGACTGACAAAGCAGGCTCTCAGCCCTGGTTCATCACCTACAGAGGGGTGAGGAGCGTGGGAACATGCTGTGGCTCAGAACATCCTAGACGCCAGAGATGGGTCTGCAGGTTCTTGGGGAGGTTGCCTCCAGGCTAGAAGGGGAAGGTGTCAGGGAAGAGAGGAGAGTGGGGGTTCTAACAAAGAGGGCTCTGTCCCTGCCTTTGATTAAGGCTGCATGACAGGGACAGGGAGTATTGGAGTAAGCAAAGGAGGTGGGTGGGGGGCAGGGCAGGTGCTGTGGCTTGAATGTAGCTGCTCCAAAGTTCAGATGTTGCCAATGTGATGAATTAAGAAGTAGACCTTTAAGAGGCAATCGGGGGCCGGTGCTGTGGCTTACTAAGCTAATCCTCTGCCTGCGGCGCCTGCACCCGGGGTTCTAGTCCTGGTTGGGGTGCTGGATTCTGTCCCAGTTGCTCTTCCAGTCCAGCTCTCTGCTGTGGCCCGGGAAGGCAGTGGAAGATGGCCCAAGTCCTTGGGCCCTGCACCCACATGGGAGACCAGGAGGAAGCACCTGGCTCCTGGCTTCGGATCAGCGCAGCGCCGACCATAGCAGCCATTTGTGAGGTGAACCAACGGAAAAAGGAAGACCTTTCTCTCTGTCTCTCTATCTAACTCTGCCTGTCCAAAAAAAAAAAAAAAAAGGCAATTGGGGGCCCAGGGGGCCCAGTGTTGTAGCACAGCAGGGACACCACCTGCAACAGTGTCATCTCATATAGGTGCTGGTTCAAGATCTGGATGAAGCTCCTGGCTATGGCCTGGCCCAGCCCCAGCCTTGGCAGCCATTTGGGGAGTGAACCAGCAGATGAAAAATCTCCCATCTCCCCTCTCCCCTCTCCAATAGATAGAAAAGTAAACAAATCTCTAAAACAAAATAAGGCACAGATATATGCAGCAATTCCAGTTCTGTTCCCCTTTTCTTCTTTCCAATGTATTTATTTGAAAGGTTGAGTGATAGAGAAGATGAGAGATAGGGAGAGAGAGAGAGATCTTCCATCTTCTGTATCACTCCCCAATTGGCTGTAAAAAAAAAAAAAAAAAAAAAATTGGGACAGGGCCAGGCCAAAGCCAGGAGCTTGGAATTCCATCTGAGTTTCCCACATGGGTGGCTGGAGTCAAGCACTTGGGCCATCTTCTGCCACCTTCCCAGGTACATTAGCAGGAAGCAGGATCAGAGGCAGAGCGGCTGGGATGCAAACCAGTGCTCCAACAGTGGGGGCAAGCATCACAGGACCCTGCTTAACTTGCTGCACCGCCACATAGATCCTGTCCAGTCCCTTCTACAGCTGGAACCTGCTGGGGTCTGTCTGTCTGCTCCCAGCCCCTCCTGGACCTACCCCCGGCTTCTTCCTTACAAACCAGCTCTTTTGGTCCCTTTCCCTCTTGGCCAGCCTCGGGTTGAGGAGTCTAAGATTTTCCATGTCTGTGAAGGCAGTTCCCGAGGTGTTAGCCAAAGGAGGCTGATGTGGCCAGGACTGTCTGTCTTTGGACGCCAGGGATTCGTGCTCCCTTTTTCTAAGCAAAGTCTTCATGTTCTTACATAACCAATACAGAGGTGAGACCATTGCCAGCCATGGACCAAAGAAACAAGGTGGCCCCCAGCAGTTGCCTTGTCAGTGAACTTCAAAGGGCCTTCTGTTCTCTCCCCTTTCAGGTCATCTTTGCTTTGAACCAGACCCTCCTGCAGCAGGAGAGCCTGCGAGCCGGCAGCCTTCAGATCCCCTATACCACGGAGGATCTCATCAAACACTACAACTGTGGGGACCTCAGCTCGGTCATCTTCAGCCATGACAGCTCCCAGGTGAGTGTGCTTGACCTCTGCGGAGCTCAGCACGCATTTCAATACTGCACAAGATTAAAGACGTTCCCTTTCCCCCTCCCCCAGCCCTGCCTTGGCCCCTGGACATCCTGTGTACAAAGGACTGAGGTCATGAAGGGCTCTAAAAATAAAATGGGCAGATGGAGATGTCTTTGAGCCAGGCGCAGTGCTAACAAAGGCATTCTTTGGGATCCTTTTAGGGACAGAGAGGATCGCGGATGAGGGGCAGTGCCAGGATCCCAGGCAGAGGGTGAATTTCCAAAGGACTCAGCAGCGGGCAGCAGGAAGCCGCCTTCAGAGAGAACAAGGGATGCCAGTCTGGTGGTCTCCTGGCTGACTCAGGGGACGCTTTGAGAAATGCTGGAGCGAGACTTTGGCTGAAGCTTCCAGTGGCTTCTAGAGACACGTGACCCTGTTCGTGTGTCTATGGAGTTCTCGCAGGGGTGGTGCGTGAGGGCTGGGGGTGCTGCCAGCATTTGCGACATGGGTCATTCCGTGTTTCCGGATTGCAGCATGAGTGTGGCTGTGCTGGTGGGGTGAGTATATGCCAGGACTGGCCTTGGAGGTGGCATTGAGGGGAAAGAAGTGGCTGGTAAGGCCTCAGAGGCTGGACGGATATTTGTGATGTTTATCAGCAGGTTTGCCATAGGACAAAGCTTGGCCCTTCTCCTCCCCACACTGAGAAGTTGCAAGTGCCTGCGAAGCTCTGAGGTGGGGAGGGTGCTGTCCGTCCCCACTGCTGTCTAGTGCCAGAGTCCTCGTGTGTGAGGATGCTGGGGAGGAGGGCAGGGAGCTGGTGGGTGTGGGTGGTGCTGTCCAGGTGTACGTTAGATTTCCTGTAAGGAAATGTGTGTGGACCTAAGAGGTAAAGGAGGAAGAGCAACAGCAGTGAGAGGGACAAGAGAAGCCAAGTGCAGCGTCGGCCAGGATTTGGTCATCTTGTTAATAACAGATGTGTCGAAGGATATGACGGGAGTGGGGGTTTAGCCTAACAGCTGACACCCGTTCCCATGTCTCATGTTGAATACCTAGAATCCCTACCTGTCTCTGGCTCTGGACTCCAGCTTTCTGCTAAGGCCCACTCTGGGAAGCAGCAGTGATGGTTCAAGTGGTTGGGTCCCTGCCACCCAGATGGGAGATCTTGATTGAATTCCTGGTTTCCAGCTTCAGCCTGACCCAGTCCTGGCAGTTATAGGCACGTGGGGCATGAACCAGTGCCTGGGAGTTCTTTCTCTCAGCCTCTCAAGTAAATACATAAATAAATAAAGATTAAAAACAACTTAAAAGGTGCAAGGGGCTTTCCAGAAAGTCTAGAGAGAGAAGTATAAGTAAGGCAGAGCAAAGTGGGAGGAGCAGGGGAGCGACAGGTGTTGCGAGGGACAGCAGGGAGGACGGTGGTGGTCATTCTTATGGGCATTCTGGATGGGTGGGGAAATGGGCTAGAGGTCAAGATCAATTGAGAGATTGACACTTGAAGCAGCAGAAAAAAGCTAACCTGGGCATGGGACTTGAGCTCTGCCTTGGTCTTGGCTGGTCCCTTGCTGCTGTGGGCATTCAGGGAATGAACTAATACATCTCTAGCTGGTTTGCCAATAATGGAAACAAATTAAACACATTTAAAAAAAGATCTGTTATCCAAAAAGAAAGCTGGTGGCTCCATTGCAGACTGTGTAGTCAGTCGGTCAGTGTTTTTGAGAGGCTGCTGGGAGGAGAAGCAGGTGGGATAGGCATGGGGCTAAGGTAATGGTTAGCCTTGGGAAGCCATGGAGGCAGCAAGCGCCCAGGGAAGGGATGTGAACCCAGGTTGGGGTGGGAGAAAACCACAGGCTAGCCTCTCCTACAGCACTGAGTTGCAAGAACCACTTTGGTTGTCACAGTTTTGGTGGACTTGTATCCTATCATTGGTCGATACACTGAAAGCAGTCAATGTGTATATCAGAATCCGGTGCAACACTTCCCAGTAGGCAAGGAACATGGGAGAAAGCTAGAGAGAGAATAGGAAGTAGAGAAGTGACAAAAATCTAAGTGTATCAGTTTTATAAAACAGCTAAGTATTTATGGAAATTACATGTTTTGGGTAGTAGAATCATAATTATTTATTCTAAAATATGTTACTGCATAAAACGATTTTCATGAAAAAGCATGAGTGAATTAAACAAGTTAAAACTGTGGATGTGCTATGTAAAGATATGGTCTCCTTATATAAACATGTGGTGTCAGAATCATTTAAGTGGAATAGAAATACTGTTTAAAATAGCCTAAGAGCATGGAAAGCCAAGACACTCTGGCAAAAGATCTCTGCGAGTGAGATCCCAGTGGAAAGAACAGGTCTTCAAAGAAGGAGGTACCTTTCTCTGAAGGGAGGAGAGAACCTCCACTTTGACTATGACCTTGTCTAAACAAGATAAGAGTCGGAGAACTCAGAGGGCTTCCATAGCCTTGGAAACTCATGACTGGAGCATAGGGAGATTACTGATGCCATAGACAGGAGTGTCAATTGGTAAAGTCAACAACAGGAGTCACTGTGCACTTACTCCTCATGTAGGATCTCTGTCCTTAATGTGCTGTGTATTGAGATTTAATGCTATAACGAGTACCCAAACAATATATTTCACTTTGTGTTTCTATGGGGGTGCAAACTGTTGAAATCTTTACTTAATGTATACTAAACTGATCCTCTGTAAAAAAAAAAAAAAAAAAAAAAAATCAACTCCCAACTTGACTCTCACTGGGATTAAACATGACAATAGGTCTGATCTGATTTCATCATCATTTAAAAAAAATCATCTATTATTTTTCACTTTATGTTTCTGTGTGAGAGCAAACTGTTGAAATCCTTACTTAATGTATACTAAGCTGATCTTCTGTATAATAAGATAATTTCAAATGAATCTTGATGTGAATGGAAGGGGAGAGGGAGTGGGAAAGGGGAGGGTTGTGGGTGGGAGGGACGGTATGGGGGGGAAGCCATTGTAATCCATAAATCGTACTTTGGAAATTTATATTCATTAAATAAAAGTTAAAAAAAAAATAGCCTAAGAGGGCCAGCGCTGTGGCTCAACAGGCTAATCCTCCACCTGCGGCGCCGGCACCCTGGGTTCTAGTTCCGGTCGGGGCGCCGGATTCTGTCCCGGTTGCCCCTCTTCCAGGCCAGGTCTCTGCTGTGGCCCGGGAGTGCAGTGGAGGATGGCCCAAGTGCTTGGGCCCTGCACCAGCATGGGAGACCGGGGAAGCACTTGGCTCCTGGCTTCGGATCAGCGTGGTGTGCCGGCTGCAGCGTCCATTGAGGGGTGAACTAACGGAAAAAGGAAGACCTTTCTCTCTGTTTCTCTCTCACTGTCCACTCTGCCTGTCAAAAAAAAAAAAATAGCCTAAGAGTTCCTGCATGCACTGTATTTAGTACTTTTTCACTTTGGCTACAGGTGAGATCATGGTTGGAACATAGCAGATAGGAGACCACGAGAACAATGTGACCGCCCCATACATGTGATCTCTCACCCACTAGTTCACTCCCCCTTTTAAAAATATTTATTTTTCTAGTTATCTACCTACCTACCTACGTATTTATTTGAAAGGCAGAGTGACAGAGAGAGGAGGAGATCTTCTATTCACTGTTGCACTCCTTAAATGCCTGCAACAGCAGGTGGTTGGGTCAGGCCGAAGTCAGGAGCCAGGAACTCCATCCTGGCCTCCCATGTGGGTGGCAGGGACGCAGGTACTTGTGTTGTCACCTGCTGCCTCCCAGGGTGTATTAGTAGGGAGCTGATTCAGAAGCGGAACAGCCGGGACTCCAACCCACACTCCAATATGGGATACAGGCATCCGGGTGGCTAGAGGATTTGATGCTCATATGAAACAACTGTGTTAATAACTGTATTGCCCTTAAGTTATTCTTTTATCTTTTTCTCTTGATGGAGGTTCCGAATTTTATTAACGCCACGCTCCCGCCTCAGGAACGCATCACCGCCCAGGAGATTGACAGCTACTTCCGCAGGGAGCTGATCTACAAGCGCAATGAGAGAATGGGGAAGCGGGTCAAGGCCCTTTTGGAGGAGTTCCCTGACAAAGGCTTTTTCTTTGCCTTTGGAGCTGGTGAGTTGCAGGTAGTTTCTGATTAGCCTCTGGGGGCTGATGGTTCTCTATGAAGGGAATATTAGAGGCTAACTTGTTCCATTCTTATTACCCCAGCCTCACAGTAGCCTTGAAAACCCACAGGGTGGAACAGTGGTAGCTGTGAAAACCAGTCACCTAGCAGATGCCAGAGGGGCAGAATGGGTTTGAAGCTCCCCCAAAACCCCCATTCAACGACTTGTCACTATTTGACCTGTTTGCCAAAAGTTTTACTTCCAAGCTGGTCCTTGTTTTTTATTTTGTTAAAGATTTTATTTTTGAAAGGTAGAGTTAGACAGTGAGAGGGAGAGACAGAGAAGTCTTCATCTGCTGGTTCACTCCCCAGCTGGCCCCAACGCCTGGAGCTGGGCCAATCCAAAGCCAGAAGCTTCTTCTAGGTCTACCATGTGGATGCTTGGGTCATCTTCCACTGCCTTCCTGGGCAATAGCAGAGAGCTGGATCAGAAGCGGAGCTGCTGGGACTCGAACTGGCGCCCATATGGGATGCTGGCATCGCAGGTGGAGGATTAACTTGCTCCACAGTGCCATCCCCCCACGGTGGTTATGATTTGGCCTGATTCACAGTCTACTGTAATACATTGTGGATAGCTGGTGGAAGGAGGCAGGAGAGGAAACGGTGAGCCCAGTTAGGAGGCTGCTGTGTCAATCATATAGGACACAGTGGGGGCTTTGATCCAGATGTTTGCAGTGGCAATGAAAAGAGATAGGCTGAAATCAGACACATTTTGAAATATGGCCGATAGAACTTGCTGTTGGGTTAGGTAGAGGAGAACAGAAATGCAAGCAATCCTGGATGGTACCAGTAATTAGGCCCTTAGTAACCAGGTAGATGGTGGTGCCTCTTATTGGGACAGAAAGTGGGGAGGGCGTTCGGATTCCAGGGTGTTTGTTGAAAACAATCAAGGGCATTGTTTAATATCATAGCTGCCTGAGACAGCAAAATCAGTTGTGGTTGGGGCCGGTGCTGTGGCACAATGTGTTAATGCCCTGGCCTGAAGTGCCGGCATCCCATTTGGGCACTGGTTCTAGTCCCTGCTGCTCCTCTTCCAATCCCGCTCTCTGCTATGGTCTAGGAAAGCAGTAGAAGATGGCCAAGTCCTGGGGCCCCTGCACCCATGTGGGAGACCCAGAAGAAGCGCCTGGCTCCTGGCTTCGGATCGGTGCAGCTCCGGCTGTTGTGGCCATCTGGGGAGTGAACCAGTGGATGGAAGACCTCTCTCTCTCTCTCTCTCTCTCTCTCTCTCTCTGTGTGTGTGTGTGTAACTCTGAATTTCAAATAAATAAATAAATCTTAAAAAAATCAGTTGGGGCTTACAAGGGGCTGAATTTAAAAAGTGTAAAAGGAAATAGAAATGCCCCAAAGGTGATTTTTGAAAGCTATGACATATTCCCCAGATTCTAAAATGTCAGGTGCATGAGGAGAGCTTGCGCATGCTTAGAGAGATCCAAGAATGTCCTCATCTCTCACCTTTGCCCGATCTTGAGACTCTGGACAAATAGAGAGTGAAAGTGTAGGCAGGGTTGTAAAGGCGTGCCCCAGCACTCACGCAGCCCCTCTGCAGAGGCTGGGAAACTTACAGAGTTTGGTCATTTGCGGAAATTTCTGTTCGTTCTTTACCTGATGGCTCAGCTCACTGAGCGACTTCAGGGACCACACAAGACAAAGAATACAGACTTTACAGAGTTGGTCCTGGGGAGTCACTCCTAAACCATGGTAAGAACAGCAAGATAGCCAGGGAGGCCTGGTGTTCAGAGATGGCACACCACAGTATTTAAAATGTCCAGTTTTCAGCACAAATCTATGGCTAGAAATCTATGGCCATTTCTAGGAGAAAAACCAATCACCAGAAACAGTCCTTGTGGAAGCCCATATATTAGGTTTACTAGAAAAGAGTTTGAATCCAGCTGTTATAAGTATGTTGAGAGAGCTAAAATAAGCCATATCTAAGGAGCTGAATAATATCTCACCAAATACAGACTGTCCATAAAGAGAGAAATTAGGAAACAGAACCAGATTCTGGAGAGTGTAGTAGCTGAAATGAAAAATTCACTAGAGGGACTGAGCAGTACATTTGAGCTGGCAGAAGGAATCCACATATGTGACTATGGGCTGATTGAGACTGTTCAGTATGAGAAAAGGAGAGGAAAAAGAATGAATAAAAATGAACAGATTGAGGCCAGCGCTGTGGCATAGTAGGTTAAGCCTCTGCTTGCTGCACCAGCATCCCATTTGGGTGCTGGTTCGAGTCCCCACTGCTCCACTTCCAATCCAGCTCCCTGATAAAGGCTTGGGAAAGCAGCGGAAGACGACTCAAGTACTTGGACCCTTGCACCCATACGAGAGACTTGAAAGAATCTCCTGGCTTCAGATCGGCCCAGCTCCAGCTGTTGTGGCTGTTTGGGGAGTGACCCAGTGGATGGAAGACCTCTCTGTTCCTCCTCTCTCTGTAACTCTGCCTCTCAAATCTTTAAAAAAAAACTGAGCAGATTTACAGAGACCTGTGGGACATCTTCATGTATACCAGTGTATACTTAGCAGGACTGCTACAGGAGAGGAGAGAAAGGAACAGAATGGATAGTTGAATAAAGATAAGTCCAAAAGTTTATGAAAATTATCAGTGCAAATTCAATGAATGAACTCTTAGATCCGTGCCAAGCTGCCTCACAGCCAAACCGTCAAAAGCCAAAAGTAAGAAGAAATCTTCAAAGCGCTGCATTGAAGCAACTTACTGCATATAAAGGATCCGTGATAAGATGAACAGAAGATTTCTCAACAGAGCCCAGGAGACTTTGGGGGGTATGTGTGTGGCATATTAAAAGTGCTAAAAAAAAATGACAACATTTCCACTTCCAGCAAAATTACAAAAATTAAGAGGAAATTAAAATATTTTTAGATAAATAAAAACAACTTTTCAGTAGCAGACCTATCCTTCGAGAAACAATAAAAGGAATCCTTTAAGCAGAAATGAAAGGCTATTACACAGTAACTGAAATCCACAGGGAATGGTAAAGCATATCAGTAGGTAGGAAGGGAAACATAAAAGATAGTGAACATGTACTTTTTTTTTTTTTTTTTTGACAGAGTGGACAGTGAGAGAGAGACAGAGAGAAAGGTCTACCTTTGCTGTTGGTTCACCCTCCAATGGCTGCCACTGCCGGCGTGCTGCAGCTGGCACACAGCGCTGATCCGAAGGCAGGAGCCAGGTGCTTCTCCTGGTCTCCCATGGGGTGCAGGGCCCAAGCACCTGGGCCATCCTCCACTGCACTCCCTGGCCACAGCAGAGAGCTGGCCTGGAAGAGGGGCAACCGGGAAACATGTACTTCTGATTATAATTCTTTTCTTACCTCTCTGGATTATACAATTACATAAAGCAATAATCATAAAATTTGTATGAATGGATTTATAATATATAAAGTTGTAATTTATGAAAATAGGAAAGAGCTATGTTATAGGAAAGTTATGCTATTCAATTAAGATAACATTAATTCAAATTAAAGTATTTTAAGTTGTTAATTGTTATTCCTAGAACAGACACTAAGAAAATAACTGAAAAGATACAGTAAAAGAAGAAAAAGGGAATTAAAATGCGGTACTAGAAAATATCTATTTAATATTTAAAACAGTTATAAAGGGGCAGAAGAAGAAGAAAAATATGACATATAGAAAAGAGATAGTAGGGCCAGCATTGTGACATAATGGGTTACACCACTGCCTGCAGTGTTGGCATCCCATATGGGTGCCAGTTTGAGTTCTGGCTACTCCACTTCTGATCCAGTCCCTGTTAATGTGCCTGGGGAAGCAGTAGAAGATGGCCCAAGTGCTTGGGCCCTTGAACACACATGGGAGACCTGGAAGAAGCTCTTGGCTCCTGGCTCTGGCCTGGCCCAGCTCTGGCCATTGCAGTCAAATGGGTAATGAGTGAGGTGGATTTCCCTCTCTTGCTGCCCCCCCCAACTCTCTAACTCTGCCTTTCAAATAAATAAAATAAATCATTAAAAACAAAAAGAGATAGCAGTGGCTGGTGTTGTGGCACAGCAGATTAAGCTGCTGCCTGCAATGCCAACATTCCAAATCAGAGTGCAGATTCGAGCCTCAGCTGCTCTGTGTCTGATCCAGCTTCTTGCTATCGTGCCTGGGAAAGCAGTGGAAGATGGTCCATTTACTTGGGCCCCTGCCATTCATGGAAGAGCCCCAGATGGAGTTCTTGGCTCCTGACTTCAGCCTCACCCAGCCCCTACTCTCCCAGCCCTTTGGGGAGTGAGGTAGCAGATAGAAGGTCTCTTTCTCTCCATTTCTTTCTGTCAGTTTTTCAAATAATAAATCTTTAAAAAGAAAAGAATTAGCAAAATTCTGTATTATTAGTAATGACCTTACATACAAATATAAATAGAAATATAAGCAATCAGAAAATGGCAGAACAGATAAAAAATGGTCCATCTAGTTGTACTTTATTTTTTATTTTTTTTGACAGGCAGAGTGGACAGTGAGAGAGAGAGAAAGGTCTTCCTTTGCCGTTGGTTCACCCTCCAATGGCTGCTGCGGCCGGCATACCACGCTGATCCGATGGCAGGAGCCAGGTACTTCTCCTGGTCTCCCATGGGGTGCAGGGCCCAAGTACTTGGGCCATCCTCCACTGCACTCCCTGGCCACAGCAGAGAGCTGGCCTGGAAGAGGGGCAACCAGGACAGAATCTGGCGCCCCGACCAGGACTAGAACCCGGTGTGTCGGTGCCGCAAGGTGGAGGATTAGCCTAGTGAGCCGCGGCGCCGGTTTAGTTGTACTTTTTATATGTCTACAAGCGATTAAGTTTTTTTTTTTTTTTTTTAAGGATTTATTTATTTGAAAGGAAGATTTTTAAAAATTTCTTTTAAACTTTTATTTAATATATTTGCAAAGTACAACTTTTGGATTATAGCGGCTTTTCCCCCTGTAACCTCCCTCCCACCTGCAACCATCCCATCTCCCACTCCCTCTCCCATCACATTCATATCAAGATTTATTTTCAATTATCTTTATATTCAGAAGATCAACCTAATATACACTAAGTAAAGATTTCAACAGTCTGCACCCAGATACATAAGGTATAAAGTACTGTTTGAGTAGTAGTTTTACCATTAATTCGCATAGTACAACACATTAAAGACAGAGATCCTACATGGGGAATAGGTGCATAGTGACTCCCGTTGTTGATTTAACAATTGACACTCTTGTTTATGGTGTCAGTAATCACCCGAGGCTCTTGTCATGAGCTGCCAAGGCTATGGAAGCCTCTTGAGTTCGCCAACTCCGATCTTATTTAAACAAGGTCATAGTCAAAGTGGAGGTTCACCCCTCCTTTCAGAGAAAGGTACTTCCTTCTTTGATGGCCTGTTCTTTCCTCTGGGATCTCACTCACAGAGATCTTTCATTTAGGTCATTTTTTGCCACAGTGTTTTGGCTTTCCATGCCTGAAATACTCTCATGGGCTTTTTAGCCAGATGCAAATGCCTTAAGGGCCGATTCTGAGGCCAGAATGCTATTTAGGACATCTGCCATTCTATGAGTTTGCTGTGTATCCTACTTCCCATGTTAGATCTTTCTCTCCTTTTTAATTCTATCAGTTAGTATTAGCAGACACTAGACTTGTTTATGTGATCCCTTTGACACTTAATCCTATCATTATGATCAATTATGAACTGAAACTGATCACTTTGACTAGTGAGATGGCACTGGTACATGCCACCTTGAAGGAATTGAGTTGGAATCCCCTGGCACGTTTCTAACTCTACAATTAGAGGTAAGTCAGATTGAGCATGTGATGAAAGGCGGATTTATAGACAGGGACAGAGAGGCCTTCAATCCACTGGTTCACTCCTCAGGTGGCTTCCATGGCCAGGGCTGGCCCAGACTGAAGCTAGGAGCTTCTTTCAGGTCTCCCACATGGGTGCATGGGCCCAAGCACTTTGGGCCATCTTCTGCTGCTTTCCCAGGCCATTAGCAGAGAGCTGGATGGGAAGTGGAGCCGCTGGGACTTGAACTGGTGCCCACATGAGATCCCTGTGCTGCAGGTGGAAGTTTAACCTACTATGCCACAACACCAAGCCCCAGGGATTCAGTTTAGATTCAAAGGCACAAATAGACTGAAGGTACAAGAATGGAAAAAAATATACCTTGAAAACAGTAATTAAAAGAAAGTTGGAGTGGCTGTTGTATCAGACAAAACTGACTTCAAATAAAAATTTAGTATCAGATAAAGGACATATTTTAATAATAAAAGGGTCAGTCCAGTAGGAAGGCATAACACATGTTCATCTAATAACATTACATTAATAACATTAAATACATGGCGTGAAACCAGATAGAGCTGAAGAACTACTAGATGGATAATAAAAGTGGGAGATTTTATTTAAAAAATTTATTTTCGTTTTACTTGAAAGGCCTCACAGATCTAGAGAGATCTTCCAGCTGCTGGTTCATTGCCCAGATGCCTACCATAGCTAGGGCTGAAGCAGCGTGAAGCCAGGAGCCCAGAACTCCAGCAGGGTCTCCCGGGTGGGTGGTAGGGACTAAAGCACTCGAACCATCATCTGCTGCCTCCCAGGGTGTCCATCAGCAGGAAGCTGGAATCAGAAGCGGGGGCTGGGACTCAAACCGAGGTGTGCCAGTGTGGGATGCAGGCATCCCAATGGTGTCTTAACTGCTGAGCCAAATGCTTGCTCCCATTAATTGGTGTTGGAGTGTTCTATCAGCCTTGCACACTTGAAATAAATCCTACTTGTGCATATTCTTTTGATACATCTTTGGGTCCTAGTTGCTGATATTTGTTGAAGAGTTTTACATATATGTTCATGGGAGATACTGATCTATGATTTTCCTGTCTTGTAATATCTTTATCTGGTTTTGGTCTTAGGGTAATACTGGCCTTGTAGAATGGGAGAGGAATATTACTTTTTTTTAAAAAAATTATTTGAGAAGGAGAGTTTCAGAGGGTGAGAGAGACAGAGGTCTTCCATCTGCTGGTTCACTCCCTAAATGACCACAACAGCTGGAGCTGTGTCAATCTGAAGCCAGGAGCTTCTTCTAGGTCTCCTATGTGGGTGCAGAGCCATGTTCCACTGCTTTCCCAGGCCATTAGCAGGGAGCTGGATTGGAAGTAGAGCAGCTGGGACATGAACCAGTGCTGATATGGGATGCTGGCACCTCAGGCAGAGGCTTAAGCTACTACACCACAGTGTAGGGCCCCAGGAATCTTATCTTTTAAAGACATTTATTTGAAAGGCAGAATTACAGACGGGGAGAGACAGATCTTCCTTCTGCTGGTTCACTTCCCAGATGCACGCAGCAACCAGGTCTGGGCTTGGTTTCAATGTGGAGCGGGGGACAGAACTTGGGCCGTTTTCTGTTGCTTTCCCTGGTGCGTTACCAGAGAGCTGGATTGGAAGCAGAATAACTGGGATGAACCCATACTCTGATATCAGACGCTGGCATTGCAGACAGCAGCTTAACCCATTGCATCGTACCACTGGTCCCGCTCTGTTCTTATTTTTCCGTTCCTTGTGGAGAATTGGTATAATTTCACCTTTAAATCTTCAGTAGGACTTATCAGTGGCATCATCTGGGCCTGGTGTTTTTCCTTTGGAAAATTATTGATTTAATTTTTAAATAGATATAAGCTTTTCAAATTGTTTATTTCTTCCTGTGTGAGTTTTGGTAGTTTGTGTCTACTAGGAATTACTTAGTTTTATGAAACTACAACTTTTGGGTGTAGAGTTACTACCCATCATACTCCTTTTAGTGTCCCTGGCCTCAGTGGTGATGGCTTCTCCTTTCTTTCCGTGTTAGTAATTTGTGACTTCCCTGTTTCCCTTGATTAGTCTGGCTGGTGGTTTATTAACTGTATCAATTTTTTAAAAAGCTCCCTTTTTTTGGTATATTATCTAATTTATGCTTTAATTTGTGTTATCTCCTTTCCTCTGCTTGATTTAGCCTTAAACTGCTCTTCTTTCTCTAGCTTTCGAATGTAGATGCTTAGATGACTGATTTTAGATCTCCCTCCTTTCCTGATGTATACACTCAATGCTTGAATTTTCCCCAAGCACTACTCATGCTGCACCTTGTAAATTTTTATGTTTCATTTTCAGTTCAAACTTCTTTTGACTTGTGTATTATTTACAAGTGTGCTATTTAATCTTTTCATATTTTGGGGCTTTCAGTGACCTTTGTGTAATTGGTTTTTGATCCAATTCAATTGTCTAAAAGCTTACTTGGTGTGACTTCTTTCTTATACATGTATTGAAACGTGTCTTATGGTGCAGAGTGTGGTCTGTCTGCGTGAATGTTCCATGTGAGCCAATAGATTGTGTTCTGTGGTTGTTGGATGAGTCATTCTATAAATGTCAATTAAATCAATTGGATTGGTGATGCTTTTCATTTCACTGTATTTCCTATCTGATAATTCCAGGATCTCTGTCATGTCTGCATCTGGGTGTGATGCTTATTTTATTTCTTCAGACTGTTACTGGCCTTTTAGTATGCATTGCAATTTTTCATTGAAAGCTGGACAAGATTGATCTGGCAATAGGGAGTGAGGTAGATACAGCCAGGTGCTCTGTAGTGACATTATAAGAGTAGAAGAATAAGGCAAGTGGGAGACAGAACAAGACAAAAAGGAGACAGACCACAAACTCCACAGCCAGAACAGGTTTATCCAGAGGCAAACCTGAGAGGGACCCAACGGGTGGATAGAGAGAGCACACGGTAGAGAGCATGTTTGCTTACAGACCAGGTGCTTATCTTGCTGAGCTAGGGGCTATTGGCTGAATTTTTAAGCTGGTTGGGAGGGCTTGGGCTAATGGCTGAACTCTTAGATAGCAGTGTGTCTTGGGTGGGCTTGGGCCAACAGCTGAACTCCTAAGATAGCAGTGCAGCTGTAAGATGATGTCACTTCTCACGAGCCTATTCACGATCTGACAGACGTTTTGGCCAATGATGGATTGCACAGATGATAGCTGTCTCATCCATTCTATCACCTATGGTACTGTGGCCACCTTAGTTAGTCTACATATGCTCTATGAAGTTTACACTAGGATGGAACTGCCTAATGATGCACTTCTGGAAATGTGCATGTCTTTATTATGAGGTTTTATTTATTTTTAAAATTAAAAAAATTAATTAAGCAGAGTTAGAGATATCTTTCCCAAATGGCCATAATGACTGGGGCTGAGCTAGGCCAAAGCCATGAGCCTGGACATCCATCTGGGTCTCCCATGTGGGTAGCAGAGGCCCAAGTACTTGGCCCATCTTCCATTGCTTTCCCAGGCCATTAGCAGGGAACTAGATTTGCAGTAGAGCATTTGGGACTCAAACTAGCACTGACATGGGATGCTGGTTAGCATCACAGGCAGTAGCTGAACTTGCTGTACCCTAATGCCGGCCCCTGTAATCTGTTATTTTACATGAGCCCAGGGTGGGTAGAGCTCCAGTGAAGATACCAATTCACACTCACTAAGCTATAATAAAAAAGATAGACAGTAACAAGTTTTGGTGATGATGTGGAGAGGTTGGCACCCTCATACATTGCTATTGGGGGTGTAAAATGGTGCAATCATTTTGGAAAATTGACAGTTTATCAAAATCAAGCATAGACCTATCCTTTGAGTCAACATTTTGACTCCCAGATAATATACCCAGGAAAATTGCAAACATGTATCCATGCAGAAATTTGTACATGAATGTTTGCAGCAGCATTATTTATAAAAGCCAGTCCAAGTGTCCATCAACTGATGAATGCATAAATAACAATGATATGTCTGTACAATGGAATATTACTCAGCTGTGCAAAGGAAAGAAGTGCTGATGCACACTACACGCAAATGGGTTGAAAACACTATATGAAGCAGAAAAAGCCGCTCACCAAATTCCACATCTTATAGTATTTATTTGGAATTTACATTTAAATGAAATGTCCAGAACAGGCAAATCTGTACATATAGAAAGTAGATTGCCAGGGACTAGAAGCAGGAAAGAATAGGTAGTATTGCCTTTGGATGCGCTTTCCAGGGGTGGGAATGACAGTAATTTTTTATTTTTTATTTTGTTTTTGAATTTTTTAAATAAGCAAATATATTCTTTTTGGTTAAGATTCATTTGAAAGGCAGAGTTACACATAGAGAGAAGGAGAGGCAGAGAGAGAGAGAGGTCTTCCATCTGCTAGTTCACCCCCCAATTGGCCACAATGGCCAGAGCTGCACCGATCCAAAGCCAGGAGCCAGGAGCTTCTTTCAGGTCTCCCAGGCGGGTGCAGGAGCCCAAGGAGTTGGGCCATCCTCTACTGCTTTCCCAGGCCACAGCAGACATCTGGATTGGAAGTGGAGGAGCTGGGACTTGAACCGGATGCTGGCACTGCAGATGGTGGCTTTACCTGCTATACCACAGCGCTGGCCCCACTGAATTTTTTTTAAGGTGAACACATTTCATATTTACAGATTTAGGAGCATAGTAACACTTTCCACCCTATTCTCCCTCCTATCTACATTCCCACCTATCCTCCTCCTTCCTTTCCCATTCATTCAATTTTTATAATGATCAACTCTCAGTCTATTTTATACTGATAAGATTAACCCTGGGGCCGGAGCTGTGGCGTAGTGGGTAAAGCTGCTGCCTGCAGTGCCCGTATCCCATATCGGCACCAGTTCAAGTCCTGGCTGTTCCACTTCTGTTCCAGCCCTCTGCTATGTCCTGAGAAAGCAGTGGAAGATGGCCCAAGTGCTTGGACCCTGCACCCATGTGGTAGACCCAGAAGAATCTCCTGGCTATGGTTGGGTGCAGCTCCAGCAGTTGCGGCCATCTGGGGAGTAAATCAGCAGATGGAAGACACCACCCCCCACCCCCGCCACCTCTGCCTCTCTATAATTCTGCCTTTCAAATAAATAGATAAATATTAAAAAAAGTCAGTGAAAGAGTAACCCTACACTAAGTAAAGAATTCAACCAATAGTAATAAAAAAAAGCACTATTCCTCAATGTAGAGACAAGGGCTGTAAATAATCATCAAATCTCAAAATGTCAGTTTCATTCCTATACATTACACTTTCAGGTACTCTATTAGTTACCAAAGATCAGGGAAAACATGGTATTTGTCTTTTTGGGAATGGCTTATTTTACTGATCTTTTGTTTTAATTTTGTTGATTTATTCTCTAATTTTAATTATTTCTTTCCTTCAATTTTTGGGTTTCATTTGTTGTTTTTCTAGATCTTTGAGATGAATTGAAAGCTAATTTATTTGGCGCCTTTCCAATTTTTTGATGTAAGCACCAATTGCTATAAATGTCCCTCTTAACCCTGCTTTTCTATTGTATTGCTATCTTCATTTGTTTCCAGAAAGTTTTTAATTTCCTTTTTGATTTCTTCTATGATCCACTTTGTATTCAGGAGCATGTTGTTCAGTCTCCATGTGTTTGCATATTTTCTAGAGATTCTTAAGTTACTAATTTGCAGCTTCATTCTGTTGTGGTCAGAGAAAATGCATGGTATGATTTCAGCCCATTAATATTGTATTTGTTGAGACTTACTTTATGGCCTAATATATGGTCAATCCTAGAGAAAGTTCTGTGCACTAATGAAAAGAATGTATATTCTTCAACTGTGGGATAAAAGGTTCTTATTTTTTTTTTTTGACAGGCAGAGTTAGAGACAGAGAGAAAGGTCTTCCTTTTTCCGTTGGTTCACCCCACAAATGGCCGCTACAGCTGGTGCGCTGTGGCCAGCGTGCTGCACTGATCTGAAGCCAGGAGCCAGATGCTTCCCCCTGGTCTCCCATGTGGGTGCAGGGCCCAAGCACTTGGGCCATCCTCCACTGTCTTCCCGGGCCACAGCAGAGAGCTGGACTGGAAGAGGAGCAACTGGGACAGAATCCGGCACCCCAACAGGGACTAGAACCTGAGGTGCCGGCGCTGCAGGTGGAGGATTAGCCAAGTGAGCCGCAGTGCCGGCCAAAAGGTTCTGTAGATATCAGTTAGGTCCATTTAGTCTACGGTGTCAATTAGCTCTTTTTTGTTGTTGTTGATTTTCTGTCTAGTTGATCTGTCCATTGATGAAAATAGAGGTTGAAGTCGCCCATTAATATTGTATTGGAGTCTATTGAAGATCTTTCCTAGTCATGTCTATTAGGTGTTCTATGTGCCTCGTGTACTTAGATGTCCTAAGTTAGAGAAGTTTTCTGTTATTATCTCACTGAATAGGCCTTCTAATCCATTCTCTCTTTCTATACCTTCAGGAATGCCTAAGACCCTTATGCTGGGTCATTTGATGGTATCCCATAAGTCTCCAATACTGTTTTTAATTTTTCTAATTTCTTCTTCTTGTTTTTTTTTTTTTTTTTTGGTATGACAGAAATTTCCAACAATTTGTCTTCCAGCTCACATATTTTTTCTTCTGCCTCAATAAGTCTGTTGTTAAGGTTTTCTATTGTGTATTTTATTTGACATTTCTAATTCTTCATTTCTAATATTTCATTTGATTTCTCTTCAGAATCTCAATTTCATGAGAAAATTTTTCATTCTTGTCATGTGGGTTTCTTTAACTCAATAATTTGCTTCTTGTTGCTTCTGAGTAATCTTATGATAATTTTTTTGAATTCCTTTTCAGGCATTTCATTAATCTCTTTGTCTTTACATTCTAATATTGAAGTAATATGTTCCTTTCAGAGAGCCGTATTGTCTTCCTTATTCTTGTTTCTTGAATTTCTGCATTTATTTCTAAGCATTTGTGGAAATACTTGTTGGTTTTCCCCTCTGATGGATTCTATCAGAACAGTGCCTCTGTGGCTTAGTGGAACGTCTGCTCTTTCAGCGAGTCCTAGAATTGTGTGCTGGGTGTGGCCAGGGAGCTCTGGTGGTGCTTCAGGGTTGGGTGAGAATGCAGAGTGATACCCAAGTTGGGTTTGGTAGGTCTTCTCCATTGTCAGCAGGGGAGAGGATATGATCATGCCTCTTGGCACAATCACAACCTTACTTCATCTCTTCCAAGGTAATCTGTGACCAGGGTTTATCCCACAGTGGATACAACCCCATCTATGCTGGTGCATGAACTCCACAAAGGATCTTTGTGGTCCTCAGTGTGAAGAAGAAACCCTCTGCAATGACCCACTCCTGTCTGTCTGTGATTGTCCCGAGGTCCTGTTATACCTTGTACCATATTGTTGAGTCACAGAATTCCCACAGCCACAGCATAAAAGGCTCCCTCATTCATGGGGTGTAGAGGGTCTGTGTGGCCCCGCAAGCCTTCCCCCATCCACGGAGAGAGCAGAGATGTTCCCAGATCCAGCTGCCGGTAGGTGTTCCACCTTGGCAGTTTGAGCCCTGGAGCTTGTGATATGTTGAGAGGATGGGGACACTGCATAGTCCTAAGTGGGTGCCCAGCCCCCTGTCAACACTCCAGCCAGGTATAAAGTCAGAAGGGCACATGACTTTTTCCCTCTGGGCATGCACAAGAGCCACTGTAGCCTCCCCTGGTGTTAAAATGGTGCTTCTCGGCCAGCGCTGTGGCATAGCGAGTAAAGCCACTGCCTGCAGTGCCGGCATCCCATATGGGCACTGGTTCAAGTCCTGGCTGCTCCACTTCCCATCCAGCTCTCTGCTATGGCCTGGGAAAGCAGTAGAAGTTGGCCCAAGTCCTTGGGCCCCTGCACACGCATGGGAGACCTGGAAGAAGCTCCTGGCTCCTGGCTTCGGATTGGCCCAGCTCGGGCCACTGTGGCCAATTAGGGATTAAACCAGCAGATGGAAGACCTTTTTTCCTCTCTCTCTCTCTGCCTCTCTTCTCTCTGTGGAACTCTTTCACATAAATAAATAAATCTTAAAAAAAAAAAAAACAAAAAACAAACGGTGCTTCTCCCCCCAAGTTGCTGGGTGTTTTTGTTGGGGGATGGGAAGAAAGAATCGTGCTTTTCTTTAGCTGGATTAGATGGGTACCCTGCCCCCTCCAGGGCTCCAGGCTGGACTCAAAGACAGCATGGGCCTCAAGGCTGTGCCTTAGGCCGTGTCACTAGTGGCATGGGCTGCCGCAGTGCGCTCTCAGCTCACTCTGCAAAGCTGGCGTCTCCTCCTGCTCCTGGCTGCAGGGGTCATCTGCTCTGAGCTCGTGGCTGAGTGGCTGCACCCTCCACGTGGCTGGATGGTGTCTATTCTGTAGGAGTTCCACTGCAAACTTCTCTCCAGCTCTACCCTGGGAATGAGCTTCGTCTGCTTTTCTTCTATTTCCCTCTGGTCAAATGCAGCATGTGTGTTCCCTATTCAGCCATCTTGGAGGGAGCAATAGAAACATTTTTAAATCAGTGGTGATGACTGTGTGACTTTCTGAATATTCTAAAAAACTTCACTGAATCGTATACTTTAAAAGGATGAATTTTATGCAGATTGCATTCAAATGAGGGATCTGGCTTGTTCACTGAAACATCTTGTTCAGTGAAAAGTTCTACCACCCAAATCAACAGCAGTTTCTTCTGTTCATCTGATGTTTCATATTTGGGTTGTGCACTGGAGACATTGTTGGGTGTGGCCTGTTTCAATAAGTGTCTTCCTCTAACAAAGCTGTTGAAGGACCTTGACCTTGGTCCCCTGATGGTGGTGCAGGCCTCAGATGCCCCTGTGGCTCGTGTCCTAGTGGGAGCATCAGGAAAGCTTTGTCCTAAGGTGCAGTCCTGTGTTCCTGTAGACGCAAAGGGTGCTGGTGCTGTTCCTGCAGGCAAAGCTGCTAGCCCAGGTGTGGGCCTTGGCTTTCTACTCCTGTGAACTCCGTTGTCTCCCAAACGCTTCTCCTGTGTTCAGAGTCAGGAGGATGGGGCGCTGGGCAGAGGGGAAGCGTAGTCGTGAGTTCTGGCTGGCAGGGGGATGGGCAGCTTAGTTGGAGCAGTCTGGAGGGCATGTCGTTGGGATTGGAGCTTTGCCAGGAAGACGGCAAGGGTGACACTGCAACACCTGGACATGCCTGATTCTAGGGTCCAGCTCATCTGGATCCAGTGCTGGACGAGGTCTCACAGCCCCAGGAACTCCAGGTATCACGAGGGCCTGCATTGGCTCCTCCTTGGGCCAATTTGCCTGCAGTGGTTCCTTTCTCTCTGTGCCCTCTGACACTCAGTTGAGCAGAAATGGAAGCTTAAAATTTGAAAAGCTGTGTGGTTAGCATACTTAAAACAATTTTTAAAAAGATTTATTTATTAGAGTTACAGAGGGAGGTAGAAGCAGAGAGAGAGGTCTTCCATCTGCTGGCTCACTCCCCAAATGACTGCAATGGCCAGAGCTGAGCCAATCTGAAGCCACGTGCTTATTCTGGTTCTCCCATGTGCCTGCAGGGGCCCCAGGGCTCGGGCCATCTTTTACTGCTTTCCCAGGCCACAGCAGAGAGCTGGATTGGAAGTGGAGCAGCTGGGATTCGAACCAGCGCTGATATGGGATGCTGGCGCTGCGGCGATGCTTTAACCTCTGCGCCACAGTGCCGGCCCCAAAACAAATTTTAATTCATTCATTGGAGAGACAGAACAAGTGAGTCCCATCTGCTGATTGACCCCCTTAAATGCCTGCAATGACTGGGGCGAAGGCTAGGCACAATCCAGGTCTCCTACGAGTGTGGCAGGAACCCATTTACTTGAGCCATCTTTGCTGTCTCCCAAGGTCTGCAGAGGCAGAAAGCTGGAATCAGGAGCCAGAAATTAAACTTAGGTGATCCGATGTGGGACATGGGCCAGGCTGAATACTCTAATAGCAAATCTCGAATGCAAAGTGAGGGTAACCTAGAAATGAAAGCATCCGAGCTTTACAATCAAATAGCAACCTTTGTGGCAGAGATCTGGGGATCAAATGTGAAGAGGAGAAGTGGGGCTCACCTGTAGAGTTGGGGAAAGGAAAGCATGGACGTCACAGGTGCTCTCAGAGTGTAATCACTTGTTCTAAATTGCTGTTCCCTCATTCTCAGGTCAGTAAATAAGCTATCACTAGTGGTAAAAGACAGGCCTTTTTCTTATTTATTTTTTAAGGCAAAATATCATTTTATTTTTTATTTTTTTCTAGCTATTTTATATATTCCCCCCCCCCCCAGAACCTTTTATTTAAGGAATACAAACTTCACGCATTTTATAATAACAACTTTAGGAACATGGTGATTCTTTGCACAGTATCTGCCCTCCCACCCCTCTTCCTCCTCCCTCTCATATTTCCATTCTTACTTTTTACTAAGATCTATTTTCAGTTAACTTTATACACATAAAATTTACTCTATGTTAAGAATTCAACAAATAGTATTAAAAAAACTGTTCCTCAACAATCAAGATGAGGGCTGTTCAAAGCCATTGCATTTCAGAGTGTCAATTTCACTTCTATAGATTACCTTTTAGGTGCTCTATTAGATATCACAGATCGGGGAGAACATATGGTGTTTGTGCTTTTAGGACTGGCTTATTTCACTAAGTATGATGTTTTCCTGTTTCATCTTTTTTTAAAAGATTTATTTGAAAGGCAGATTTACATAGAGGCAGAGAGAGAGGTCTCCCATCTGCTGATTCACTCCCCAGATGGCCACAATGGCTGGAGCTGTGCCCATCTGAAGCCAGGAGCTTCTTCTGGGTCTTCCATGTGGGTGCGGGGGCCCAAGGACTTGAGCCATCTTCTGCTTTCCCAGGCCATAGCAGAGAGCTGGATTGGAAGTGGAGCAGCTGGGACTCAACTGGTGTCCATATGGGATGCTGGCACTGCAGGTGGTGGCTTTACCTGTTACACCATAGTGCTGGCCCTGGTTTCATCCATTTTTCTGCAAACGACAGGGTTTCATTTTTAAAAATAGCTGTAGTATTCCATGGTGTACATATCCCATAATTTCTTTATCCAGTGGACAGGCATTTGGGTTGACTCCATATCTTAGCTATTGTGAATTTGAGCTGCAATAAACATGGGAGTACAGATAACTCTTTTTATATACTGATTTTATTTCTCTTGGGTAAATTCCTGGAAGTGGGATGACTGGGTCATATGGTAGGGCTATATTCAGGTTTCTGAGGAATCTCCATACTATCTTGAACAGTGGCTGTACCAATTTACATTCCCACCAACAGTGGATTAGGGTACTCTTTTTCCCACATCCTGGACAGCATTTGTTGATTGTTGATTTCTGTAAGAAAGCCATTCTAATAGGGGTGAGGTGAAACATCATTGTAGATGCATGAATTGATTTCTGGCATTTCTATTCTGTTCCATTGGTCTATCCATCTATGTACCAGTACCAAGGTGTTTTGATTATAACTTCCCTGTAGTATGTCATGAAATCTGGTATTGTTATGCCTCCAGCTTTGTTTTTGTTGTATAAGATTGCTTTATATTTCAAGGCCTCCTGTGTTTCCATATGAATTTAAGCATCATTTTTTTGATTTCTTGAATGACCCACTGCTCATTCAGGAGCCTGTTGTTCAATCTCCACATGTTTGCATATGTTCTAGAGATTCCTGAGTTGCTGATTTCCAGCCTTATCCATTGTGGTCTGAGAAGATGCATAGTGTGATTTTGATTTTTTTGGAATTTGCTGAGACTTGCTTTATGGCCTCGCGTGTGGTGAATCCTAGTGAAAGTTCCATGCACCAGGGAGAAAAACGTGTATTCTACAACTGTAGGACAGAAAGTTCTGTAGATATCTGTTAGGTCCATTTGGTCTATAGTGTCAATTAATTCTGCTCTTTCCTTGCTGATTCTGTCTGATTGATCTGTCCATTGCTGAAAGTAGGGTATGGAAGACCCCATTACTATTGTATTAGAGTCTATGTCTCCATTTAGATTCATTAACATTTCTTTTATGTAGCCAGGTACCCTGTAATTAGGTGCATATACATTTATAATAGTCACATCTTCCTGTTGAATTGATCCCTTAATCATTACATAGTACCCCTCTTTGTCTCTTTTTAATAGTTTTTGTGTTAAAATCTATTTTGTCTGCTGTTAGGATGGCTACACCAGCTCTTTTTGGTTTCCATAGCATGGATTATCTTTTTCCATCCTTTCACTTCCAGTCTGTGTGCATCTTTGTTAGTGAGATGTGTTTCTTGTAGTCAGCAAATAGATGGGTTTTGTTTTTTAATCCATTCAGCCAGTCTGTCTTTTAACTGGAGAGTTGAGGCCATTTACATTCAAGGTGACTATTGATGAATAATGGCTTTACCCTGCCATTTTCCCAAAAATATTCCTATTTTTTATTTTGGATTTCCTTTGGACTCCTGGGAGATTTTTTTGCCTGCACCTTCTTTCATAAAGGATGATCATCCATGTTTCTGTTTCTATGTATAGCATATCCTTAGCATCTTTTGCAAGGCTGGATGGATGGTGACAAATTCTTTCTGTTTGTTATGGAATGTCTTTAATTCACTTTCATTCATAAATGAGAGTTTTGCAGGGTAAAGTATTCTGGGTTGATGTTTTTTTTTTTTTTTTCTCTTAAGACTTGGAATATATCTTGCCATTCTTTCCTAGCCTGTAGGGTTCTGGTAAGTCCGCTCTGAGTCTAGTTGGAGATCTTCTGAAAGTAATTTGGTGTTTCTCTCGTGTATATTTTAGAATCTTCTCTCTATGTTTTTCTGTCATGAGTTTGATTATAATGTGTCGTGGTGAAGATTTTTTCTGGTCATGTCTATTAGGAGTTCTGTGTGCTTCCTGTACTTGGTTGTCCCTTTCTTTCTCCAAATTAGGGATGTTTTTAGAAATATTTGCACTAAAGAGGCCTTCTAATCTGTTCTCTGTTTCCATGCCTTCAGGAGCTCCTAAGTCCTCTATGTTTGGTCATTTGATATTATCCTATAGATCTCCAACAGTGTTTTTTAGTTTACTAGTTTCTTCTTGTTTTTGGTCTGACTGTAAAATTTCTAGAAATTTGTCTTCTAAATCAGATATTCTTTCTTCTGCTTCACCAAATGTGTTGTTAAGTCTTTCCATTGAATTTTTTGTTCTATTGAATTCTTCATTTCTTTCTTTTCTTTTAATTTGACAGGTAGAGTTAGAGAGAGAGAGAGAGAGAGAGAGAGAGAGAGAGAGAGAAACAGAGAAACAGAGAAACAGAGAGAAAGGTCTTCCTTCCATTGGTTCACTCCACAAATGCTGCTATGGCTGGCGCTGCGCTGATCTGAAGCCAGGAGCCAGGTGCTTTTTCCTGGTCTCCCATGCGGGAGCAGGGGCCCAAGCACTTGGGCCATCCTCCACTGCCCTCCTGGGCCACAGCAGAGGTCTGGACTGGAAGAGGAGCAGCCGGGATTTGAACCTGGCGCCCATATGGGATGCCGGCACCGCAGGTGGAGGATTAACCAAGTGAGCCATGGCACTGGCCCCTTGAATTCTTCATTTCTAAGATTTCATTTTGATTTTAAGATCACAATTTTGTTGGAAAAATCTTTCATGTCATGTATGGATTTCCTTAGTTCATGCATTTGTTTTTGATTACTTCTAAGTAATCCTATGATCAATTTTTTGAATTCCATTTCTGACATTTCTTGAATATCTTCATCTTTACAGTCTATTATTGAAGTGTTATTTTGGGGGCATCATGTTGTCATCCTTATGATGTCTTGAATTTGTGCGTTTATTATTTGGCATTTCTGTAAATGTGCATTGGTTTTTTGTTTTCACTGTGGTGGCTTTTATCTTGGACTTTGTCTCTGTGGATTAGTGGAGTATCTACTTTTTCAGTGAATACCTAGAGGCGTATGGTGGGAGCCCTGTTTAGTGCTCCAGGGTGAAGGGAGTATCTAAGGTGACACTCAGGTTGGGCATGATAAGTCTCCTCTTTTTTTTTTTTTTTATTGGAGGGGAGATTTGGTTCAGCTCTGATGGTATAGACTCAGCTCACCTCCTTTCCTCATAGGAGAGCAGTGCTTAGATGCCAGTCCCAGCCTGAGCCCTCCCACTCAGACTCAGTGTTTTCACAGTCCCGCCACACAAGCCTCCCACAGGCATAAGCACCCAGCCCCCTGTCATTTCTCCCTGCCAGACTCTGGCATCTCTGCCTTGCTGGTTGCTGGGTGCAGACACGAACTGGCACAGCTGTTATGTATGTTCAGAATGGTGCCATCTCTATAGGCTTGTTACAGAATGCTGTGGCAGGGGTGATCGGGGAGAGAGAAATGTGCTTCCACCGTTTTTATCTGATAGTTTGGCAGGTACACTATCCCCCACAGGACTCCAAACTGGTTTCCCTCCAGGCTCTTCCTGCAGCTTTATTGCTAGTGCCTTGGGCTGCTGCATCTGGTCTTGCCTTACTTACTCTCCCAAGGTGGTGCAGAGGCTCTCGGCTGCTGAGGTCCTGAGTTGTGCACATCCATAGCCTCCACATATATCCACTGTGCCCCTCTAATTTGTGTGAAGTTTCCTCTGCCATTTTCTCTCCAACTCTTCCCTGAGACCGCATTCTCTCCACTTTTTTTTTTTTAAAGATTTATTTATTTGAGAGGCAAAGAGAGAGAGAGAAGGAGGAAGGGAGGGAGGGAGGGAGGTCTTCCATGGGCTGGTTCACTCCCCAAATGGCCGCAATGGCTGGAGCTGTGCTGATCTGAAGCCAGGAGCCAGGAGCTTCTTCTGGGCCTCCCAGAAGGGTGCATGGGTCCAAGCACTTGGGCCATCTTCTACTGCTTTCCCAGGCCATAGCAGAGAGCTGGATCAGAAGTGGAGCAGCCAGGACTCTAACTGGTACTCATATGGGATGCCGGCACGGCAGGTGGTGGCTTTATCAGCTATGCCACAGCACTGGCCTCTCTCTCCACTTTTTAAAAACTATCTTGTCTTAGACTAGAGTAGTAAACTCCATTCCTAATCCACCATCTTAATCCTGTCAGTTTATTCTTTGCTTTGTTTTGTTTCTTCCCTGTGATGGGTTTTATCTTTGCACTCTTCCTCTGTGGTTTAGTGGAGTGTCTGCTTTTTCAGTTAATACCCAGAGGTGTGTGGTAGGTGTGGCCAGGGAGTTCTGTTCAGTGCTCCAGGATGAAGGGTGACTTGGGATGACTTGGGTGCCTGGGGGTGTCCAAGTGAAAGCCAGCACCATGGGGCTCTGCTTTCCTTACAGGTGCATTGCTGCCATGGGCTCTTGTGGGTTCCTCACTGTGGCTCCTGAGACCCCCATGAGCAGAGACCTCTAAGAAGGGCAGATCTCAGATCAGGTTGCCTTTAATTTTGTTAGTAAGTGGTGAGTGTGTAGTGGCCACTCCTTCAGCTCCTCTGGCCAACCTGTTCCTTAGCATCTTTGCATTGCTTGCATGCAAATTCCCCCATTTCTCCCCCAAAAAGCCCTCATCCTTTAAGATCCTGCACATGTCACCTGCACTAGGAAGCCTAACCAGGTCAAGGTTTGATGTCCAGGCTGTTCCCTTAGCTGTGTGACTCCAGGCATTGTACCTAGCTGTTGTGATCTTCAGTGTCCGGGGCTCTGGAACTTATCCCTGGCCTTCCTTGTGGGACTGTTGCGAAGTGGGTTCCTGCAGCTCTTGGGACCTGCCCTGTGCTGCCCACAAGGGAAGGGGGTGGTAGGGTCATTTCTTTGTTGTGGGGGTGGGTTTGGGGTCTACCTGCCGTCCTGAGAACCGCACCTTTCTGATGGTCTTTCTTGCTGCAGGTCATTTCATGGGCAACAACACCGTGCTGGATGTTTTGCGGCGCGAAGGCTATGAGGTAGAACACGCCCCCGCTGGACGACCCCTCAACAAGTAACCTTCCTGAGCTTCTGTCTGGTTGGCGGCTAGGGGAGCTGAGACCCCTCAGGGATGCCTGGGGCCAGGGCCCCCTGCAGGCTGTGTCCCAGCCTGGGAGACGTGGTGATCAGGGTGGAGGCTCAGCCTCTGCCCAGCTGGCGGGGCAGACGCGGGTGCTGGGTGGGCACTTGGGGCTGCAGCGGGCACACTGCTCTTGTGTCTGGCAGTGTTCGGGATGGAGAGGAAGGCGAAGTGAAGGGTGCCCTGGGGGCCCCAGGAGGAGTAATTAGTCTTAATCTTCAGCAGCTTTTTACCTAGTTTTTTTTTTTTTTTTTTAAATAAAGATTTGTTTATTTGACAGGCAGAGTTAGAGAGGGAGAGACAGAAAGAGATATCTTCCATACACTGGTTCACTCCCCAATTGGCCATAGCAGCCAGAGCTGGGCTGATCCAAAGCCAGGAGCTTCTTCCCAGTCTCCCAAGTGGGTGCAGGAGCCCAAATACTTGGGCCATCTTCCACTGCTTTCCCAGGCACATTTTAGCAGGGGGCTGGATCAAAAGTGGAGCAGCCGGCCGGCGCCGTGGCTCACTAGGCTAATCCTCCGCCTGCGGCGCCGGCACCCTGGGTTCTAGTCCTGGTCGGGGCGCTGGATTCTGTCCCGGTTGCCCCTCTTCCAGTCCAGCTCTCTGCTGTGGCCCAGGAAGGCAGTGGAGGATGGCCCAAGTGCTTGGGCCCTGCACCCCATGGGAGACCAGGAGAAGCACCTGGCTCCTAGCTGTGGATCAGCGCAATGCGCCGGCTGCAGCGGCCATTGAGGGGTGAACCAATGGAAAAGGAAGACCTTTCTCTTTGTCTCTCTCTCTCTCACTGTCCACTCTACCTGTCAAAAATAAAAGTGGAGCAGCCGAACTCCAACTCGTACCCGTTTGGGATGCCAGTACTGCAGGCGGCGGCTTTACCTGCTGTGCCACGGCGCCTGCCCTGACCTAAGTGTAGTGGAAGGCAGAATGGTAGCCTCAGGTCATCACCGTGGTGGAAAGGGCAGCGGGCCTGGAGGTGCAGGGATTGCCTGTCTGAGCCTTTCGGGGGACAGGAGCAGGTCTGTCTCTGCACACTTTCCTCCCCCCAAGTCTATTTGCTTTTCATTTTTCTGCATAAGCACTCAGCGTCCCCATGGGCCCTTCTGTAAAGAACTCCATGCAGCGGACTCCACCCTGGCCTCCCTTCCAGTTTTCTCCAAGAGGTCCAGTCCCGGTGGGCACGGGGGTCCTTCCCTTCCCCAGCAGCATTTGCCCCCTCGGCTGCCGTAACAAATACTGCAGCCTGGGGGCTCCATTGGGGGTTCTTTCCTTAGGGCTCTGGTGGCTGGTGTCCGCGGTCAGGGTCTCCTGAGGCCTCTCTCCGAGGCTTGCAGGGGGCCGCCTTGCTACCTGTCAGGGCTGTCCCTTTGTGCAGTTGTGCCGCCAAGGCCTCTTCTCAACAGGATGCCGGTTGTATTGGATTAGGGCTCATCCTACCTGCCACGTTCTGAGGTACAGGCGATTGGGACTTCATATGAATTTGGGGTAGGATGTAACTCAGTCCTAAACATCCCCTCCGTTCCTCTCACTGCTACTCCTTCCAGACTTGGGCTCACCAGCGCCCCCTCCTGGCAGAGCCCTCAGCTCCAGGTGGCAAATGCCTCTGCCCTCAGAGGCAGGGCCTGGCTCTGGTGGTCTTGCTCGCCTGCCTGCCCTCCCACTACTCATCTCCGATTGCCTCGGTGGAAGGCTCACCTCCTCCTCATGTTGTGTCAGCCAGCTTCTCTCCCTCCAGAGGCCCCCATCTGGCAGAACCCAGGATTCTCCTGGATTCTGTCTCCCTGGGAAGTCCTGGGTACATCCTGGGCTTGTCTTACCCCCTGCTCCCTGGCTCCCCCTGTATCCTGTGTGTCAGTAACAGCAGTTCCTCACACAGTCATTTCTAGTTTACAGAACCACTGGCCTGAGACAGGTGCATGGCTTCCCCATAAAGCTCCTCTGGGGTGTGTAGTGCTCTATCCCCGGGCTGGTGCCCATTTCAGGCCTTTCTCCCCACTCCCCGTTCATCAGCCTCCTGTTGGACCAATATTTCTCTCTCTCTCTCTCTAAGATTTATTATATTTATTTGGAAGAGTTATATATATAGAGAAAAAGGTTTTCCATCTGCTGGTTCACACCCCAAATGACTACAATGGTCAGAGCTGCGCTGATCCGAAGCCAGGAGCCAGGTGTTTCTTCTGGGTCTCCCACGTGGGTGCAGGGGCCCAAGCACTTGGGCCATCTTCTACTGCTTTTCCAGGCCATAGAAGAGAGCTGGATCAGAAATAGAGCAGCCAGGACTTGAACAAGTGCCCATGTGGGACACTGGCCCTGTAGGCCTGGGGCTTTAACCCACTATGCCATAGCACTAGCCCCAGCACCAATCTTTCAAGTACCCCATGCTCAAGCCTCCTGCAGCTTCCTATTGTTCTCTTCCAGAGCCTGGTGCCTTCACACTGAGGTCCTGGCACCCACTCTCTCCTCGGCGCAGATCTGCTGCTGGCTTCAGAGAACGCTCTGTCCTTGCCACTCCTCTCCTGTGCGGATGCCAGTTCCCTGCGTCCTCCTCCCCTGCCTGGGAACTCCTGCCCTCTGTGGACCAGCTTTGCAGTCTGCCCTGGTCTCTCTGCCTCTCTCCCTTCTGGTCTCCTTAAAGTCTGGCGGGAGGGCCCTGCCCTTTTGGGGTCTCTGCTTGATTCAGTGGGACTGTGGGTCTGTCCTCCCCGACTGGATTGTGTGCTGTCAGAGAGGTGGGTGAGCTGGGCACCAGGACCTGCCCAGTCCGCAGCCCCAGGCTGATTGGGCTGGTACCTGACATACTGTTCCTGGGATGCTGGAGAGGACCTGCCTGGCGTGTGGGGGTGTGGTTGTTGTTGTGTGTGTCTGCTACGTACATGTTGCATGTGTTGTGCACGGTGTGATGTATCTGTGTCTGGTATGCACGGGGCATGTATGTATGGTACCTACACATTGCGTTCATGCAGTGTGGTGTATAAATGGGGCATGTACCTGGTACATGTGCGTTATGTGTACGTAGTGTGTATATCTGGTGTGTGGTTTAGGTGTGTATGACACATCTGTGTGTGCGGCGTGTGTGCATAGTACATTATATGTATTGAGTGTATGTGATGTGGTATGTGAATGGTGCGTGTATGTTGTGGGTGTGTATGTGTCTGTGTGTCTGCTGTGTGTGTCGCTGGTTGTTCCCAGGCTCCCTAATCCTTCCTCTAATGCAGATACCTGCCCCGGGGGAATGCAGGTTGGGAATCAGCGTTTCCTCAAAGCGCTCCGTGAGATTCTGATGACCAGTGAGGGCTAGGAAGCAGCACGCTCATCAGACAGGGCTGCTCCCACTGCCTGGGGAGGAAGGAGCCCTTACGGCTGGCTCGTCAGCTTCACAGGGGCTCTCGGGAACTCTCAGAAGCAGTCTGTGAGGTGCACATCTCTTCTTCCCTGATGCAGGACTGTGAAAGGTCACACAGCAGCCAGAGCTGGCATGTGGCTCAAATCCCTCCCCCTCCAAACCCTCTCTTTCTTTCCAGCCTCTTTGTCTTTATGCTGCCTCCTTCCATCACGCACGACCTCCCAGCCCGGTTCTTTGATCCAGGACAGGGCCTCTCGGTGGCAGATGGGACACTGCCCTCCACTGCTGCGGCCTGGGTTCATGCTGTGCATGAACCCAAGGCATCTGGTCAGCAGTTCTGTGTGGCCTTGAGGAAGAGCCCTCGCCTTCTTCTGGGGACTGGTG